CATACATACATATGTGCAGGAGAAACACACATAAAAGTAAACAAATCTTTTAAAAATGAAAAGAAATTAGTGTAGAGTCACTAAGAGACAAAGCTATGCACAAACCCAAAACCTTTTCCCTGCCTTTTTTTTTTTTTTTTTTTTTTTGGTTTTGTTTTTTGAAACAGGATCTCATATAGCTTAGACTGGTTTTGAACTATGTAGGTGGAGGCTGACTTTGAACTCTTCAAGTGCTGGGATTACAGGTATACACCACTATATCTGGCTGGAACCCACATTTATAACCACCACCACAGGTCATCCTCGTCAATGAATTGTGTGAGTCACTTCCCAGTGACCATTCTCAAAGGATTTTATCAATGAATCCTTTCATACAATAGTCTTTCTAAAGAATCATTTCCCCACTTTAGGAACTAAAGTACAAGCTAGCTGTTTTCACAGCCTTCTCCCTAATCAGGCACAAGAACTTAGGTACATTTCTGGTATATTACAGCAAAATAAACAGTACACGTGCTACTAATACTGTTAACTCCATTATAAACATTTTTACTTGCTCACTACGAATTGGAAAATAAAATTTTGACATCTATACACTTCATATTTTTATTGTTTTCTGTATAAACTCTTTAAGTCCTAAAGCATGTTATTAAATTTTTAATACTGACTTCCTTAACTACCAAGAACTGTTTTATATATTTGTAGAAATCTCATCTTTTTTAGTTTCAATTTAACCTGTTGCTAAAATATATAAACCACTCTGCTGATTTTTAATGACCTTCTTTCATAACAAAAAAAAAAAAAATCATAAAATAGAGCCTGTAGGAATGGCCCAACAGGTAAAGGCACTAGCTGCCCAAGCTTATGGCATGAGTTCAATCCCTGAATCCAACAGTGAAAAGAGTGAATTGACTATTGAAAAGTATCCTCTAACCACCTCAACACACATGCAACGGTACACATGGACACCACACCAATAATACAATTTTTTAAAGTCCATGAGACTAATAGACAAATAAGATGAAGTTACTGTCATAATGGAAAGAAATCTGATCTAAAGATTTATCTCTAATCTACAAAAGAAAAGATTTATTAACATTAGACTGTCTAAAATCTGAATGATTTGGCGGGGGTGGAGGATTGGCACACATCTTTAATCCCAGCACTCAGGAGGCAGAGACAAGTGGATCTCTGTGAGTTCCAGACCAAGTTGGTCTACAGAGCGAGTTCTAGGACAGGCATCAAAGCTACACAGAGAAACCTTGTCTCAAAAAAAACCAAAAGAAAAAAACAAACAAACAAAAAAGAGAATGATTTGATAACACGGGAATAAATAAAAATATCCTAAACTGGAGACCCTGTGCTGCTCTTTGTCTCCTGCTCATTTTAAAAACTCTATGGCTAGAATCCAGGCTGCCAGCATGCTAAGCAAGCACCCTACAGCTGAGCCACATTCCCATCTGTTTTCCTTTGCAGAATGAAGTGTCTGTTGAAAGATTATCAGAAAACCGATGCTTTCAAAAGACAGCATCTTATACCTGCATAAGTTTACGGCAATTTCCAATTTGATTCATTTATCCAATTCTTGAGAAATGAAAACAAAAGTGAGTCGCTTTATTTTCATTTTTTTTACTCCGTGTGTGTGTGTGTGTGTGTGTGTGTGTGTGTGTGTGTGTAAGAGATCAGTTATATTTACAGGACTGGGTTCTGCCTAAAGTGGCTTTTATCTAACCTGGATGAGAGAGTAGAGGAGAAAAAAATCAAGAGAAGGCTTCACTGAGAAAGTATTGCTTAAGCTGAAAATTAAGGCATAGCTGATTGAAGGATGGTAGCGCTGGAACAATCCAGACAAAGTAGTGTGTGCAAAAGCCCTAAGCTAGAAATGTATGTTAACACAAACTAAATCAGTATGGCTGAATGTTAGTTAAGAGAAAGGGGGGCTGGAGAGACGGCCCGGCGGTTAAGAACACTGGCTGCTTGCTCTTCCAGAGGACCCGGGTTCAATTCCCAGCACCCACATGGCAGCTCACAACTGACTGTAATTCCTGACACCTTCACACCAATGCACATAAAATAAAGTTTAAAAAAAATTCTTAAAAAAAAAAAGAGAGAGAAAGAAGGAAGGAAAAAAGAGAAAGGAAGAAAGAAAGAAAGAAAAGAAAAGAGAAAAGAAGAGGGCAGAATATGAAGCTAACGAAGTAGGCAAGAACCAGGTTATGTAGAATCTGCGCCCCCCCCCCCAGCCTAGGCTGGTGTCTCTGAGGAGGACCTTGAGTTCCTGATTCTCCTGTCTCTGCCAGTTTTATATGATGCTGGAGCTCAAATCCAGGGAGTCATCATCCTAGGCAAGCATTTCAGCAACTGAACCATATCCCAGGAACAGGATTTTAAATTTTATCTTAAAGTAATAAGCACCTTAGCAATGGGAAAGTCACAGAGGATTTCAAGCAAAGGAATTATATGTTATTTTTGAATGAATGGAGAAGTGGAGTTTGGGAAGCATAGAAAACAAGAGAAAAAAATACAACAACAAAAACAAACAAACAAAAAAACCAGGAAGATCAGATAGGAAAGTAGTGATGTTTAACTCATAATTACAGTATCAATTAATTCTTACTTGCAAGTTTTTGTGTGTCAATGCTTTACCAACTTTATAGCACTCATCACAATTCACTAAGGTGAGAACTCTTATTACTATTTTACAGGTGAGAACAGGAGCCAGAGACATCAAGTCCACATGAAAAAGAACTGTGGTTTGAACTAGAAAAGTAAAAGTGAAGATGGTCACAGAGAGATGCAAGACATATACCGGAAGTAAAATAGGACTTGGAGAGGAGATGAACACACAGGATGAAGAAATCAAAAATGCCTCTACCCAGTGTAACTGAACACACAGACATGTCACATGAAAGTGGACATGCCACTTATGGACACAGACACTGGAAAGGTGAGAATCTGAGTACAGAGAAAAAGATCTCGAGACTCTGGTTTTAGCCCACGCCTTTAGTCCCAGCACTCGGGAGGCAGAGTCAGGCGGATCTCTGTGAGTTTGAGGCTGGCCTGGTCTACAGTGCTACACAGAGAAACTATCACAAAAAAAAAAAAAAAAAAAAAAAAAAAAAAAAAAAAAAAAAAAAAAAAAAAAAAAACACCTCTCTAGTTTTAGAGGTGTTATATTTGAAATTCCTAAGGGGGGGCCGAAATCAAGTTGAGATGTTAAGCAGACAGCCATCTATTTGAATATGGAGCTGAAAATAAAAATTCACACGTTATCATCATATAGTGGAATTTAAAGCTTAGAGAGGAATGGAAGGACAACTGAAGAGAACCCCAGCCCGAAATCAAATCATCATACCCTGCCAAAACTTCTCACCAAGACAACTGATTCTGCCTGTCACTGAGTTTTTCAGTGCCTCAGTTACCTCTGTCACTTTAGGCCCTTCGTCCGCCATTAAACGCGAAGCATCTCAATGCCACCGACGGACCCTTTTCTAGCACTGTACGTTTCTTTAGGCAATGTCACGCATTTGCATGGTTCCAAATTTCAACCATGCAAATGACACACACAACATACAAACACACATGCATCTATAGGTCTGGCCCAGGGTCCTCCTCTCATCTCTTAACCCAATAAACCCAAATGCCTCCTCAACGTTCTCTTAGATCATCTCTTTCAGCTAGAGACTCATCAGGTACTGTAACTCGCTGAAAGAATACCCCCAAAACCACTACAGTACAACTCTCCAAAGACACGGAACTTTATTACCAGTTACCATTTTTTTTTCACCCGATCTTGATTTAAAATTGGTAAACGGGACATCGTCGTTGTGACTAGACACGGGAAGCAATCAAATGCACGGCAAGAATCACACTCCCTGACTCCTGGTGAGCACTGTTTAAGAGGAGGAGGAGGAGAGTCAAGAACGGCCAAGAGGGCGAATGACTATGGCATCCAAAGTCTGAAGGATTATGTGGCAACGGAAGTCACCTGGACAGACAGCAGGCCTTGCTGGGAGGCAAGCCGAGACCACCACCACCCGAGCGAACAGGGGCCGCCAGGTTTAGGATGCGGACAGCGAGTGACAAAACGGACCGCGCCGAAGGAGAGGGAAAGCGGAGGGCCAACCCTCGGACCGGGGCACCTGTAAAGCTCGGGAAGCGCCCAGGGACCCGGGGCAGGCTGAGTAGCAGCCGGGCGAACTCCGCGGAGTGGCCGCCGAGTGGGCGGACCGCACGGAGTGGGGGGGGGGGGCGGGTGGGTGGGTGGAGGAATGAAGCCGGGGAAAACGGCTCAATTCAGAAGCTGTCCCGGCCCGCCTTACCTGCGCCGGAGGGTCCCAGCCCCGGACGAGCCTGCCGGAAGCCCAGAGTTGCCGCGGAGGGGGAGGAGCCGAGGGGCTCCACAGGAAGGGGGCTCCCCTGGCCCGACAGAGCGAGGCCGCGCTCTCCCCTGCACACCTAAACCCGCTGATGGCGGGAACTGTGACCACACGCAAACACGTACGCACGCACGCACTCTCGACGCAACCAGTCCGGGAGCGTGCGCGTCAGCGCCCGAGCCCCGCCCCCTCAGGCATTCGATCCCGCCCCCTCACCAGGCCCGGCCCCTCACCCGGGCGGCCCCGCCCCGGCCGTGACGGTGCTGTAGCACACATGCGCACTCCCCCATTTTTTACCGACTTGGGACCTCCCCCCATTTTCCGCTCGCTCAGCCTGGTGGAGCATGCGCAGTTCGTGCCCTTCCAATACCGCCGGCCTTTTCCCGCCCTTCTCTGGCCTTAGGAGGAAAAGTCAGAGTTCACGCTCCTCTGGGGATGTACCTGCGATGCCGGGGGAATACGAGGGCCAGTAGGCTGCAGACGTCATTTCGAGCCTGAATCCGACGTGTCCGAGGCTTATACCCTGGGACTTGTAGCTAGGCCGAGGGCCAGGAGGCGGGAAAGGGCGGTGTGGGTGGAGGGTCAGAGGTGAGAGGTCAGAGGGCTAGCGCAGGGGGAGGAGCCAGCCGGAGGCGGATGGCGGCTCCTCATCGCGGGCTGCACAGCCGCCGCTGAAGCCGGGACGCGGGTCCGGCGCGTCCGGCGGAAGGAGGAGAGCGGCGGCCGCTCCCAACATGCACAGCCTGGCGACGGCAGCGGTGAGTGGTTGCGCCGGGATGCCCGTCTCAGCCGGCTGCCGAGCCTCCCAGAGCCGGGCCCCGAGTCCCGGCTGCTGCTGGCCCCCGAGCCGCGAGGTCCGGGAGTCGCCCCACCGCGCTCCGACCGTGGCGGGGTCGGACCTCCCCGTCCCCAGTCTCTCCCTCCCTCCCCCCCCGCCGCCGTCTCCGTCTCCCCTCCTGGCCTCGCGCGCGGCCTCCCGCGTTCTCTTCCGGAGCCGAGGCCTGCTCCCGTGCCCCGCGCGGCCCCAGCGGGCCATTCATTTGGTTCCTTGGAGCCCGGCGGCGTCAGTTTCTGGACGCCGGTTGTGTGCCGGCCGTCGGCGGGGATGAGGATAATTCCACGGCCCCTCGCTCTGGTCCCGTGCTCCTGGAGGAGCCCCTCGCCTAGGCACCGCTCCGTGGGGAGGAAATGGCTTCGAGCTCAGGCCACTGGCTTTGCCTGTAGAAGGCCAGAGACCCGAAGTTTTCAGGATGATTGCATCCGATTTTAGAGTTCTCTGCGTTTAAAGCCTTCCTCGCACACCTCGTTTTATCTTTTAACAAGCAAAGCTGATTATTATTTTATGTTTTATACCTCCCTGAAGTCATCCTATGGCTTTCGGTTACATTTAGAGAAAGTAGACTACTCCGTGGCCTATAAGCCTTGTATGATGTGGTCCATAGTCACGTTTATGGGCTTGGTTTCCATCACTTGCTCCTTAAGCCCCGGCCAAAAGTGCATGCCCTTTTTCGCTGCAAGACGCAGCCTCTGTTTTCTTTACCTGCTGTTGTCCTTAGGACTGCCTCCATTACATATACACAAATCTGCCTTACAGTATCTTTTTCTGACCTTGTTCACAGTAGCTTGTAACCCCAATATTTTCTCTTGAGTATTGGTTTCCCAGTGTGTAATTACTGGATTTTTTTAAAATTTATTTTTTAACTTGTGTGTTGTCCGTCTCCCTCTCGAGGTCATGGATATATATATACATACATACATATATATATATATATACATAGATATACATATATATATATATATACATACATATATATATAATCTCTGGTGGATCCCGTTCACTTGGTTTGCCCCCTACTAGGACATTACTACTGTAAGATAAGCACTTAAATAATGCTGACTGAATGGCCATTCACAACCAAATGGGAAGCAGGATAGTTTTAAAACACTTGGGGGCTGGAGAGATGGCTCAGAGGTTAAGAGCACTGACTGCTCTTCCAACGGTCCTGAGTTCAATTTCCAGCAACCACATGGTGGCTCACAACCATCTGTAATGAGATCTGGTGCCCTCTTCTGGCCTGCAGTCATACATGCTGTATACATAATAAATTAAAAATAATCTTAAAAAAAAGAGTAAGGAAA